AAGACTAGGCAGTAGACATTATTGTTTAGGAGATATTAATTGTCTTTCTAATTTAGAATTTGTCTAATTCATCAGGTAATTGATACTTTTAGAGAATTTTATTTTAATTGTGTAATAAATTCATTAAAGCATCTCTAATTACTGTAAAATTAGGATAATTATTTAAGAAAACAGTCTAGTATTGATATACTGTAATTAAACTTAAACATTAAGGAAATTAGCTATAGACTATAAAATTTAATATTTTTATCTCTATATTATAATTCAACAATTCTAATGAAATAGAAATACTATATAAATAAGTTACTAAGATAGAGAGCTAATAGTTTTTTATATAAGTTTTTATTATAATTGATACTTTTTAATCATTAAATATTGATTAATCATCAATCTATAAAATTGAATACTAATCATTATATCTTGATTATATCATATATTCTTTATAAATCAATTGTTCCTACTACTATATAGCTAATTCTTTGATATCATGAATTATTTGATATCTACTCATAAGACTTATTAACTCAAACTACCTTTGAGGATCATAATTTTTACAAAGATTATCAATATATTTAGTTCCTTAAAAGCATATGTGATAAAATAGCCTAGACACTTTTGTTCCAACTTTATTTTGCTGTTTTAATTGAAGTTAAAGTAGAATGTTTAAATTAGAATCAACTAAATTAAATATGATGATTCATTCCAAATTATTTATTTATAGTTCTTCTTAACATTTTTATTATTCTATAACTGGATTATTTTTAATATGGCAGATTTTATACTCTTTATTAAATTCAATATGAAGATTTTAAATTTTCCTGATTAGAATTACTAATAATTTAAAAATCCATATTATTTCTTTATAATGCTTACTAAATTAATCAAAAATCTATTTTTATATTGTGATATTTTAATTAATCACTTACTAATGAAAAATCTCATCTAACGTTTTATTTAATCTAGAATTGCTTTAATATTTAGTACATAAGAATATAGTATAATCAAATTTTATTGATTTATTCTAATTAAACTCTTTTTGTATTTATATAATTATTAGAAGACTCATTAAAAATATAATAATTTAGATATACAATATAAATTTAAATGTCAAGGATGATGTATTAAAGTAACGAACACTAGTAAAAATTTAAATCAATAATTTTAAACTCTTTTTTGGTACTATTCAAATTTCTCTTCTGAAATAAATAAGTTATAATCCAAAATTTCTAAGAAGTATTTTTCTATTTAGATAAGTTATTATTTTTTAAGTCCACTAGCCAATTAATATCTATCAATAGATCTATGCTAGTCATTTAGAATTTTATCAGCAATAATAATTGCCCCTATTAATAATCCAGTACTATTTTCTAAGTTTAGAAATATTCTTAGCTTTTAAGTTATCTAATCAACAAAATAAAAAGCTAGAATAATTGTTTCATCATTTAAATTCATTTGATAAAGGTTCTTTAATGTTTTACTAATTTTCTAAAATTAATAAGAGATTCTTACTTAATTTGACTTCGGGATTTCTAATGTATTTTCTATTTTTAGCTTTTCTTATAACTAAAATATTCGTGACATGATTTTAGTTATTTAATGTAAGGCTGTATGAGCAGCAAAGTTTGGAAGAGTAAACATTTAATTTTTTCAAATTATTATTAATTCTTTCATTTTTTTTAACCTATAAATGTGAACAAATTAATTATAAAAATTTTAAACGACTATAATATAAAATTCTATATTATATTTGAATTAAGATGCAAAATTTAGTTAGAATATCTATATTTCTAGGTGTTTTATTAATATATATAAACAGCAATTAGATGTCAAAGTATTCATTCACAGATATTTTAAATAAATAGAATAATTTATATGTTAATAGAATAAAGATAATAAATTCTGACTGATAATTTAGTAAAAAATTAATAAGATTCCTTATGTAATTATTAAATATAATGTTTTAATTCATAATTTTCATCAGATACCAATTCAAAAATCATTTTAATGCTTTTTCATTTGATGACCTTTTAATAATTTTCTTGTAATTGGAGCAGATATCATTCTCATTTAACATGCTAATTTAGCTATTTTATAATAAAAAGTGTATTTCAAAGATTTATTCATATTTTTTGAGTAAATAGGTATAAATTTAACTTTTTATTTATTATAATTTAGAATTACATTTTAAAGATTATTTTATGGTAAATAATTTTAAAATTCATAACCTTTATCAATATCAAGATTAATAAATTTGACTTATTTGATATGATCTTCATATTCTAATATGGCTGTATTAGATAGATTTTTGATAGATCTTAATTAAATGATTTATTAACTTGGATGTTCTATATTTAAAGTTTGTTCTTTTAATATTGCTATAGATATTTTTCTTTAAGCATCTTTATTATCAATATTTTAAAGGTTTTATAAATTAATTTTTCCAGTAAAATTAGATGAGGGTTTACGATGAGTCATTTTATCTATCTATATATCTGGAGATTATTCACTATGAGATGATAATTCTGGTTATTCAATTTTATTATCACTCTATCTATGAGTAGAATATTGTTTTATTCTTTTAGTACCACTCATAATTGTTAAAGAATCATTTTGATTAGATACGATTTCACATTATTAAAATTATTAAATAGTATTTTATATTCCCTTTTAAATTAATATAATAGTACTTAAATTGAATTCACTACTTTTAATTTTTAACGTGCATTTCTATTTAATTAACTTCTTGGTTATGATAAGAATTCCTACATCTTAATTATTTTCTCTAAATTAGGTTTATATGAGATTATAAAACAATCACTATTTTAATGATCAAATTTATGACAGAAATTACATTTCTTATTTATAAGACTATAATCAGAAAGATATAGTAATTAATCTTATAAAGAATAGAATATTTCTTTATCTTTCTAATTATTTTAAAGTACTTTCAAAAGATCTTATCTAGATATTCGATATAATTAACAGAAACTTGTACTAATTAATTTGAATTTTTATGATAATCCACTTATAAATGAATGTTCTCCTAATGTATCCCCCTCTTTATATTCTTATATAATTTTCTATGTACGCACTTCTACAAGACTGACTGAACCTTAATCTAAATAGTAGCTATATACTTAAATTAAATTTTACAGATACTAATCTATATTTAATCCTTCAGGTTCATGAATTATATCATTAGGTAAAAAATTAACTTATTCAAGTTTATGAATTATTTGAGATTGAGTTTATTTTGAAAAGTTGTTTACTAACAATTTCATATTTGATAATATTCTAGTTTTAATGTTTATATTAACATCATCTCTTAATCCATGTGGTAGATTATCAATAATTTATTAAGCCTATGATTAATAATTAAATTAATACTTCAATTTAATTATTTTTAGATTCATGATCAACTTAATTTTTTAAATAATTTCGAACTCTATTTGATATAGAATCATCAACCAAATTATTCTTCATGTAAGCATTAATTAAAATTAATTACCTTCTTTATAATTATAGAGATACTTTACTTGTATAAATTTCTTACATCATAAAGATTCTTAATAATAATCCCTATTGAATTCATTGAATAAGCAAATACAAAACTACTAATAAACATTGTAAAATTTGAAAACACAATTTCAATAGGATTTGATGCAGTAATGTCACCATAACCAACAGTCACCATTGTCATAGTAGCCCAATATACAGCATAATCATATTTTATTATATAAGATTGATTTTCAAGGGAATGCTTTTGGATCCATGAAACTTCATTTAATTGTTCTCCTATTACTGCTAAATAATGCCAAAGACAGCCTATAATGTGTACAAAATAATATAATGAGATTATTAGAAATACTAGATCTAAAACTTCACTTAAGTTGCCATTCAAATATAAATAATCAACAAAATTATTGATTTTTTTATACACAGTATTAATGATTAATATGATCTAAAAAATTGATAATATCTCAGTTATCTAAAAGTATTCTATTCCATTATACATCAAAATCCAAATAGTAAGATTTAAAAAATCACTTAAGACTTGATTTCTTAAATAATTATTTATTATCTATCTTCTACTAATAACTAACTAATTTATATATATAATTTATTACTTCTCCTTATTTAAGATATGCTTTATTACAAGTAATTAATCCATCAACCAATAAAAAAATGAAAATAAATACTATTGATTATTAAACACTAGAGTTTTATAATAATTAAAACGAGGTAATGAATGGTGAAAACCAAAGAATAAAAAAGCTAAATAAAATGCTAAATAAATTCCAATATTTAACAAAATTGTCTTAGGGTAAGAAAACTTAGAAGAATAGAAGTTTCTCTATATTATTTGCGAGTTTATTTTTTTTTAATTACCTACCATCTTATACTACATAATCTAAAAATAAGTAATTAAGTAGAGGTTTTTTCTCTTGTAACACATTTTGAGATAAAATATGAGCATTTTATAATAAATTATCTTTGAATTTCTTGAGCATCTATTTATTCAATACTTCCTTTAATTTCCCATCTTGACTATTTTTTTCAATCTTAAATAAGCTGTGTTAGATTTATTTTTTGCTATTTAAAAGAGCAGGTTGCTTATATTAAAAGTACTGTTACTTAAAATTTGAGAGAAAAGATTTAAGAATTCTTTTAGATGAGCTTAATTTTTTTTTTGGTCTCTTAATTTATTGACCTCATGCTTTCCATGTTACTAATTTCACTTTAAAATTAAATATCTGAGTTTGATAGAATCTTAGGTTCAACTTAGGGAGTGGCTCCTTCAATTATAATTTTAGAAGAAAGAATTTCATCGTTATTAGAGTTGTAAAATCTTGACATAGCTTAATTATAATAATATTTGAAATAATGAAAGCTTAAAACTCTAATTTCTAATATTAAGAATTAAATAATATTTATCCATTATATAAAGAATTAAATCGAAATATCCAATTATTTATTTTATTAAATTAAGTAAAAAAAAATCACTATTTTTCTTTTTTTTATATATTCTTCATGACCAATCTTTTTTTTTTTAGATTATTTTGACTTACTTTCTCTAATTTACAAAATCGAGCTACCTAATATAGGAATGTATATTTATAATTTAAAGGCCATTATTATTATATTTTATTATGCCTTTAATTATTTTAAGCAATAACCACTGAAATATGATTTTATGGTAAATATATCTATGATTTTAAGGCAATATCAATATCACAATAATGAAATTATAATTAATCTTCAACTAAATCAGAAGTTTAAAATCCATATTTAGTTGAAAATTTCTAAACTTATATTGTTGGTCCAGCAATAACAACATTTTCTATATCAATATTTTATTCATTATTTTAAATTTCTCTAGATTTTTAATAAAATAATTATTTTGAATGTTATTTTTGCATCTATGATCCTAAAGAATATTATGTAATCATCATCTCTAATATAATATAATTAAATTAAATTACATTATTATTTTTCATTTTACTAGTTAGCTAAATGTTATAAACTAGGTTAATTATATTTATTATTTTAGTTTATTTAACTATCACTATAATCTTAAGACATTTTCTCATAATTGTTTTATGATTACATATTAAATTGTTATTATTAATATTAAGTTACTGAAGTCACAATATTTTCATAATCACCTAAAGAATTGATTTTTTATCTATCTATTCGAGTAATCAATTTCCTTTCTTATTTTACAAAATATTCTGCCTTAATTAATCTTTCTAAATCTGGTTGATAACTAATTTTAGGACAAAACACATTGATATGAGTAACTGAAGAACAAATATTACATTTCTAATTTATAATGCTCATTTCCTTTCCATGAAGTAACTTATCTTTTATATTATGATAAGTTTCAAAATCAATAGAACTAGTATTCAATACTTTTAAAAAATCATTTCTAGATATCTTATATATCTATGTAAAAGTCTAACTTACTGCTCTTATTGGTAATGAACAATTAGTAAAAAATTAATATTAACCAAAATAAGATCCAGATTTAAATGTTTCTAATTATTTTTTTGTCACACTTTCTTAAATGATTACCTCTCCTTTTTCTATAAAATATCTTTATTTATTAAATATAATCTTACAGAGAATTATCATTATTTATCTAATGATCAAATAATACATCATTAGGAATGCATGAACCATATTCTAATTTATTAGCAGCAGCATATTTAATTTTTTCAGAAAAAATATCAAATAATTTAATTTATTTAAGTATTCTTAATTTAATATCTTATTTTAATTCATCTTAAAGTAAAGGTGGAAAATCATCAATAATATTATGAATCTATCAATAGAATATATATATTATACATCTTATGTATTTGCTTATTAATTATTTTCTGCTTAATATTTCAAAAAGTTTCTCACTCTATTTTAAATAGAATCTGAAACCAGATTATTTTTCATATAAGTATTCATTAAAATTAAGTTTTTCCTAAAAATACATATCAAATATTACTTATAGAAACTTGATGATACTTATATATTCTTAATTATTATTCCAATTGAATTCATTGAATATGCAAATACTAAACTACTGATAAACATAGCAAAATTAGAATATAAAATTTCATACTAATTTCCAGCTGTTACATCACCATATCCAACTGTTACCATTGTCATAGTTGCCCAATATATTGCTACATTATATTAAATCCAATGTCCTTTATTTTCTACTGAATTCTTTATCAACCAATTAATCCCTTAATCTTCTGTAGCAAATCCTATATATGTCCAATAACATGCAAATATATGAATACAAAAGAATATACAATTAATCAAGATTATCAAATCTATTAATTCACTCAAACTTCCACTCATATATAAACAATCAATATAGTTATTTAAACGACTGTATAATTTAANAAATTGTTATTATTAATATTAAGTTACTGAAGTCACAATATTTTCATAATCACCTAAAGAATTGATTTTTTATCTATCTATTCGAGTAATCAATTTCCTTTCTTATTTTACAAAATATTCTGCCTTAATTAATCTTTCTAAATCTGGTTGATAACTAATTTTAGGACAAAACACATTGATATGAGTAACTGAAGAACAAATATTACATTTCTAATTTATAATGCTCATTTCCTTTCCATGAAGTAACTTATCTTTTATATTATGATAAGTTTCAAAATCAATAGAACTAGTATTCAATACTTTTAAAAAATCATTTCTAGATATCTTATATATCTATGTAAAAGTCTAACTTACTGCTCTTATTGGTAATGAACAATTAGTAAAAAATTAATATTAACCAAAATAAGATCCAGATTTAAATGTTTCTAATTATTTTTTTGTCACACTTTCTTAAATGATTACCTCTCCTTTTTCTATAAAATATCTTTATTTATTAAATATAATCTTACAGAGAATTATCATTATTTATCTAATGATCAAATAATACATCATTAGGAATGCATGAACCATATTCTAATTTATTAGCAGCAGCATATTTAATTTTTTCAGAAAAAATATCAAATAATTTAATTTATTTAAGTATTCTTAATTTAATATCTTATTTTAATTCATCTTAAAGTAAAGGTGGAAAATCATCAATAATATTATGAATCTATCAATAGAATATATATATTATACATCTTATGTATTTGCTTATTAATTATTTTCTGCTTAATATTTCAAAAAGTTTCTCACTCTATTTTAAATAGAATCTGAAACCAGATTATTTTTCATATAAGTATTCATTAAAATTAAGTTTTTCCTAAAAATACATATCAAATATTACTTATAGAAACTTGATGATACTTATATATTCTTAATTATTATTCCAATTGAATTCATTGAATATGCAAATACTAAACTACTGATAAACATAGCAAAATTAGAATATAAAATTTCATACTAATTTCCAGCTGTTACATCACCATATCCAACTGTTACCATTGTCATAGTTGCCCAATATATTGCTACATTATATTAAATCCAATGTCCTTTATTTTCTACTGAATTCTTTATCAACCAATTAATCCCTTAATCTTCTGTAGCAAATCCTATATATGTCCAATAACATGCAAATATATGAATACAAAAGAATATACAATTAATCAAGATTATCAAATCTATTAATTCACTCAAACTTCCACTCATATATAAACAATCAATATAGTTATTTAAACGACTGTATAATTTAATTATTATAAACACTGTTTAAATTAAAGAAAGTAGTTGTCTTGCATGAATATCATCAATATGAGATATTTAAATTACCCAAATTAAACAATTTATTATATCACCATAAACATGACCTCTAAGATATTATTAAATTATTATTCTTTTATTTAGTATCAGTTCTCCCTATAAAATTATTGCTTTATGACATATTATAAAAGCATCTATAAAAAAAAATGTTATGAATAAGTAAATTATTACTCTGTAAAAGTTTTATTCAAATAAATTAAATGTAGCTATAAATGAAGAAAACCATAATGTGATTGCAGTTATTATTATTGCTATTAAATCCCATAATTTCACAAAGATTTAAGATGGCAATAACACTTCTATTTTTAGTCCTAAAATTCCTTAATGAGAATTAATTATTTCGCCATTATTCTATTCTTTAGAATCAAAAGAAAATAAACTATTTATAATATCTTTATTGTAATTGAATATATCTTTTCTCCATATATATGCTGCTTCTAAAAGTTTATTCCAAAATTTTGTTTAAATAACTTTTATGTTTTCTTCATTTTAATGAATAGCTTTACGAAAATTAGAAATTTTATTGGCCATTTAATCAATTTTAACAGTTTTCTATTAAGTCTATACTTATTTGAAAATAATTTTACATTAAATCTAAGTTATCTCCCTGAGGATTCTTTTTTTATTTATCCTAAAGGTTTTATTAAGCTTGACTATTGCACTGGCCTATTACTATCTATAACACTTATTTCAGAATAAAATTAGATTTCACTATTAGATCCTTATTTTGGGTTTATCATAATTGAAGTTTTATCAGGACCTAATTTATCCTTTTCATAATCACGAGTGTTTTATTTTAATTCAAAATTTAAGAATGACATAATTAAAATAATAAGAAATACTCATATTTTAAAATTTTACCTAAGGATGTTATCTTATATAAATTAGACATATACTGTAATTTAATCAATTTTAACTATTAACTTTAAGAATTGTTTTTTTTGTCAATGATTAAATAGGCACTTTTTATACATAAATAAATCGATATTTATTACTTGCTAATTATATTTTTGTGAATTTTTAAAGTTTTTATTACTTTTGGAATGTATTAATAACATTTTAGATATTATTTTAAGGAAAATAAATTTGAAATGTTTCAATTTTATCTAAATCATAATTAAATGTATGATATGATTATAAATTCTCTAACTAATTGAAATTTTATTATTTGTTGGTTTTAGTTTGAGAATTATTTGAAGAACTCATTAATTATTGTTATTCATTAACTTAAAGTAATTAATTACTCATATGTCTTTTAGAATAATGATCTTAAGATGAACTAAATAATGATTTTCTAGTTGGTTTATGAGTTGGAGTCTCACTATTATGTCGATTAGTTTTTTATAAAGACTCTATTTTAATGATTTTAAATACTTTATTATTCAATAAAAGATTGATCTGGATTAGTTATCCATAATGAAATTCTTTTTTTTATTTATTGAGCAACATCTTCATTATTATTATTATTTGTATAATTTTAATGTTCACTCCCTGTTAAATTTGAATCCTATTTATGTAATGATTCTTAAGAAACTAAAGATGATTCATGTTCAATTTATTTATTTGAACTTCTTTATGGTAATTCATGTTCTTCATTTTATTTAAATATTCTTAAATATCTAAGTTTCTTTCTATTAAATTAAGATCTTTATTATCTAGAATGATATAATTATCGTTTTATTAAAAATTCTTTTTCTGGTTTATAAGTTAAATAAGGACAATTTGATAATAAATGATCACCATCACAACCAAAACATTTTACTGAGAGATCTTCATATTGAAATATTACTTTATCTCTCATTTCACAATATTTTTCAAAATCTATTGAATTTTCTGAAATAATATCCAAAAACATTTCTCTTGTTATTCTATATATTGAACTAAATGTTGTACTTATAGCTTTGTATTACCTTTTTTAAGTTGTTAGAAATTCAATTTCACCAAAACATTAACCTTTTATAAGTTTTGATACAATTTTTCCTGACTTATCATCTATTAATTAAATTTCTCCTTTTTATATAATGTAAACAGAATGTTCATCCACAGAGTTTTATTAATATATAATCTCTCTTGGTGTAAATTATTAGATATTCATTCTACATGCAATCTCTTGAATTGTTGATGATTAGAAGTTCTTTGTGAAAAAGTCAACACAAGTGACTGCTCTTATTTAAACATCTTCTAATAATTCTTATTTTAAATTATAGGATAACTTTTCTATTATAGAATTAATTTCAGTATTATTGCCTTTTACTTATTGTTCATAATAATATTTCAAATAATTACGAACTCTACTCTATAATTACAATGAAACTTCATTAGAATTCATATACTGATTTATTAAAACTAGATTTCTTTTGTAATATTGTTTTTATAAATCAATATTTGAAAATATTACTCCAATAGCATTTATTGAGAATGCAAAAACAACACTTGCAAAAAAAATCATTATTATTGCACATATCACTTCATATATATTTTAAGGAGTAACATCACCATATCCAACAGTGACCATTGTTGCAGTTGCCCAATAATAAGAGTATCCATATTTGTGAAACAATGGTGAAAATTCTAAATGTTATTATTGGATCCAAGAATTTGAGAATGATTCTTAACTAATGTTTCCTACATAATACCAAATACAAGCCATAAAATGAGCAAAATAAAATATTAATATTATTAATTATGAAAGACTAACCAATTCTGTAAATGTAGATTATATAGCAAACATCTCTCCATATCTATTTATAGTTTTTTTTAATTTAATAAAATTAAAAGTAAATTAAATCAAAACTATCATTTCAGGAAAAAATGATATGGCTATAGGATCACCACCAATTACAAGTGTTAAAGTTATTAAATATATTGCATCTTCATATAATTCATAAATAACATAATGCTTTAATATTCTTAATCTATCATAAATTATTTAACCTTAATCTATCATCCCTTTATTTAATTTAATTAATAAATCAACTGCAAATAGATAAATTAACATATTTTCAATATATGACATTGTAATAGTTTTAGGTGGATTAAATGATATTTTAAATGGAACCCACCATAACAAAAACATTATTTGTATCAATCTCAATAATTACCAAAATAGATAAAATTTCCCTGTTGGATTTATGATTGGTATTTTTATACCTTATTAAACATTCTCAACACTTTAATATTGTTCTATTATACCCTATTCAAATTTTTATTCTTATTAACTAAATTTAGAATGATGATGATTTTAGTGAATATATTGTTCTTCCAAAAAATGAGAAAGCTTCTCATTAGGGTTCTTTGGATATATATGTCCTAATTAAAATAATCTCTCTTTAAATTTTAATAATAAATTTTTTTGCTTTATCAATTGCATTATTTTATTACCTCTAATATTTTATACCTTATCTTATGGATTAATTGAGGTTTACTAAAATTAATTTAAATTTCTTATACATTGTAATTTAATGATTTTTTAAAATTTCCTCTAGTTTTCCTCTATTATTTCTCTTAGATTATGTCATCCTAAGATTTCTCGTAAATAGGACTAAATTCTTAACTATCTTCCTTATTTAATTTAATTTGCTTCTAATTCATCTGTATTAATTATGGTTAAAATTTATCAGAATATCTTGATGAACCTAAACTAATAATAATTTCATCATAAACTTATGTTAATTGATCTTGCTGATTCTTGTTAATCCATCTATAAATATATTTATATATTACTCTTATAATTAAAATCATAAATACAATTTTTATTTGAATGACTAATGAATTTTAAATTAAAAATAATTTGCAAAATTTAATCAAATTGCCAACAGAATATTATTCTTAATAATCAACTATTTTCAAAAAAATAAATACAATTATTATTATATTAATATGTATTATTCAATAATTTTTTAATCTTTAAAATAAACATTGTATTCAACAATTTTAATTACTTATATTTTTCAAATTTTTCATTATAAAAAAGAAGTCATTATATTTAAAATTCATTTTATTAGTAATTAATATATTTATAAAGTAATAATATTATAATTATATTTGAATATGCATAATATTTCATAAATAATTCATAATCTTATTTACTATTCTAAAATTTATTTCATTGTTATCATTTACAGGCTCATTTTCTGAATCATTTTATGATTAAAATAAGACTTCTTTTTATTCTTAGTGTGCCTTACCTGTTTTGGTCCTTTTAGATGTATCCTCAAGAAAAATATCTTATTATTCAATATCATTAGATTTATTTATGTAAATCAGCTTAATATTACTTTTTATTGCTTCTAAAATTGTCTCTCCTTTAAGTTCACAAATATTATCTAAATAAATTAATTTAAAAGTTAAAGTTTTGAGCTTTTCAGCAATTTCATCTTTTTATTCTACTTCATTAAGAATAGCTATTTATTTCATATTCTTGTTTAAAGTAGCTTAATTAGTAATACTTTCTAGTTTTATTTTCAATTTTAATTTATTAACAGTCTTCTTATTTTATTTCTTTCTTTTCCATTTTTTTGAAATTAATGAAGTTAATTCATTATGATTAAGTTAAGGATTATTTTTTTTGTATTAGATCAATTGCTATTTGTAGAATTCTTACCATATCAATTAACCTTTCTTTAATTTATTTCCAAATTAAGAAGATTAATCAGTACAATAATTAGATTAAAAAACAAAATCTTCATTTTCAGTCTTCTTTATTGTTTAAAGATCATCATCTTTCCCTCCTATAACAAGAACTTATTATTTATTATTCATATTTAAACTTGACTATTTGATTAGGATATGTACTCATATTAGAACTAAATTCTAAAAGGATTTTTTCATCTTGAAATCTTCAGTATTCAAAATATAATATAATTTATAAAACCTACATAATGAATAAAAAAATAAATTTATCTTATTTGTTTAATAAATTATGCATTAATTCAATAATGAATCTAAGTTAATTCAGATTTTGTATACAGATTTTATTTATTATGATGATAATTTAAATCTAAAACAATTTTCCTATTGAATATCAAATTATTCAATAAATTTAATCCTAACTTACTTAGATAAATGTAATAGTTATAAAGTTATGTTACATATCAATAATTAAATATTGAATGATAATATGATAAGTAATTTATTGATTTCTAGTTCTATTAATGAAATTTTTGAGGATAATTAAATAGTTAACAAAATTTTAATATTTCATATAAAATATATACTTAAAAATTAATGAATATGATATACGTTAATTAGGCACAAAAACCTAAATAATCAATAGCTAAAAGATCTTCAAGTGGTACTAATAGATCTCCATTCATTAAAACTCATGAATAATAAGCTTAATATGAACCAATTCCAACAAGATAAGAATAAATTTATAAAAAGACTTGTGAAGATCTGAGATAGAAAATAAAAACATTTAATTAATTATAAAGATGCAATATAATAATCTTTGGACCAAGTGGCTCTGGAAAGTCATCTTTAATTCGAACATTTAATACTAGTTTAAATTAAACACAAACATTACCTGAAGCATTGTGTATAAAAGACTTATTACATAATGAAGGTACTAAACATTTTTAAAGTATAAATTTGTTATAGTCAACAAAAAATTAAATATTTTCGAAAATGAATTCACATTTAATTTAAAATTGTTAAATCAACATTCTCGATACTAGAGGTTAGATTAATTTAAGTTCTAAGGAAAATAAACAAGTTGAATTAATGTTAGAAGGGAAAGTAAAGAACATGAGTCTAGTTGAATAAAGAACTTATAGATATGCTTATAAATTATGGGAGTTCTGGAAATAAGATTGTGAATTATTCCCTTAAGAAATAATTAGTTGTGGAACCTATATTCCTCATTAAGTTCTTATAGTATTTGATGGTAGTTTAGATAAGGTTCCTAATGGAAAAGAAGAAATTGAATTTTATTAATAAATTCTAAGTCTTGTAAAATAAAAGGGTTATGATAATCCATTTATAATTTTAACTTAATTGGATAAATTAGAATATAAATTTAGGCATCATGATGATTATTAATTATATGTTGATTAAAGAATAGAATCAATAGTCTAATCTCTTAAAATCCCCAGAGAAAGTGTATTTTTTATTGAAAACTATCATGGACAATAATAGAGTTCAGAATTAGATTATTAAGCACTTAGATTACTATATGAATGTTTGTAGTAAGCATCTAAGTATCAGATATAAAGTGTAGAATGTAAATTTTTTTGAATGAAGTATTGTTTTTCATTAATATTGTAAATACTCTATAAAAATAATAATATTTAAATATTTTAGACTAATTTAGTGTAATAATTATCTAATATCATTTTGATAATAACCCAGTTTTTATCACATCTACTCTCATAGTTTTCACTTAATTCATAGTTTGGTTTAACATAAAATATTTGTAGTAGTTTTTACAAAAATCAAAATCTTGTTATAACTTAGTAAATAAAAAATATTCAAGTAAACTAAAGTATAGGATGATGATCACTAAAAGTTAAATTATACTAAAAATATTTAGATATAAATTACTAAGATACTAGACTTAAATCTAAAGTGTTATTTAATAAATTCTCAGCATTTTAAGCCCAAATTTGAAAAGTAGTCAAAAATATTTCATAAATAATCTGAAATGAAATTTAATATTGAGCTAGATCTTCTATCTAAAAATCATCATATCTTTGATCATTTGGGTTTAATGCTTTTATTACTACCTATGATAATAGTATATTAAATTATTTTAATCCTCTTTTCAATGCTCCGTCTAATATTTCTTAACAAAATTAGTCATAGTATATATAAGTTACAGTTTCATCTAAATATTTTTATTGTAAATTATACCAAAAGAATAATCACATAATGTATCATCAAAAATACGTTAGATATCACTTATTGTTGTTTAATATAAGAGAGGGGATATTACTGACATATCATTAAGAAATTCTTGGAATCTTAATTTGGTTATATTTGGATAATAGGAAGAATTCAAATAATTTTCAAAAATAAATTTCTAATTTTTTGATAATTATTTACTTCTTTAAGCAATGTAATTATCCAAAAATAGTTTGTTTGAGCTAAGTAATTGTTATCCATAAAGAATTATTTTGTTTCAATTTGTTATATCAAAATGAAATAATAAAGTAGTATAAATAAAACAAGAATGATTGCTAAATAACATATAAGAGCAATAATAGTCTAATAATGATAAAAATAAGATAAATACATTTAATTAATATTTAGATAATTTTTTTATTTTTACTTTATCTCTTTTTTAATTTGCTTTCTCTACTTCATTCATCTCAAAATCTTTTTATCTATGTTTAATCATTATATATACATTACTGTATCTGCATTTAAAGCTTGAATAGATGACTTTTTGTATCCATATTCTATAATATATTAATATATATTACATTCTTCTTCAAATAAACTATTTAATTAACTAAATAATGTTTGATATTATTTTATAGCTTTAATTTTATCTTCTTTAGGTATATTAGCAACAATATTAAAAATAGTATTGACATCATTACGAAAATTAAATTTAATTAATAATGAAAGCATTGAATCAATAATCATAAGTGAGAATTAAAATATCATAAATAGTATTAGATTATCAATAGACTGAGTTTAATATAGTATGGCTTCATTAATCCTAGAAATTATTGAATCTTCCATTAATTGTTATCCATAAGGTGCCATATAATCTCTAAAATGTGATAATATAGTATTATTTAAATTTATTAAAGCCTTATCTGAAAAATTGAATTACAATAAATTTAACTAAAACTGATCAAATATATCTAGACCACTGACATTCTTGTCATAAATATAAAATCCAGAATAAACCATTGACACAAATTCTTAATTAGTATAAATATTATAAATGAAAGTGTATTACTCATCAATGTCTGTATGAACAAATTCTAAAAATTAATCTGTTGTATTAAATTTAGTTGTTGGGTTTATAATTAATAAACTTGTCAATTTATTTTCATTCATTAGAGCCACATCAATGATGTAATTGTATGATTAAACAGTTATTAATGATATTTTAAATATATGACCCAATAAAGTTACTGAATTATGTAAGGTTAATGGATTATAATAAAATGAACAAAAAAAGTAAGTAAATGATATAAGTAATAGTTCAAAAAAAAATAAAAACCTATTTAAAATGACAAGTAAAGTTAACTTTTAATTCCTCTTTGAAATTTTATTAATTTCTTCTTTAATAAAAGGATTATTTTATTCATTTAAACTATATATAGTATTAGAACCTTATACTAAAAAGTCTTCTCTTAATGCATGACCAATCAAAAATGGTTTTAAAGTATATTCTCTATTTGAAATCAATTCCATATCTATATAATTACAAATAATATTTACCAGAATATTAATAGCCACTCTAGTTTTTCAAGGTATTTGTCTAAGTTTAAGTAACCAAAACAACTTCTCTAACAATTGTTGATGTATATGGTTTAAATGAATTTGTATTAGAGAATAAAATTTCTTATTTATCAGAGTTATTGTTATTTGTGTTCTCATCATAAAGTTCTAAACGATTAATCTTTAAAATATAAAATGAGATTTTATTGAGAGTTTTATAAAACTTGATATTGGCATCAACTTTTAATACTTTCTCAAGTATTGACTCTTAACAATAATGTTCAAATAAATATTCTATTTTAATTTATATACTTACTGATTTTAGAATAAATAAACATCATTCTTTATTGTTTAACCCATCTATATCTTTAGAGGAATTCAAATTTATCGACTCTTATCTTTCCGTTGCCATTTCTGAAAACTAATCTTTTCTAACTTTCTCCATTATAAAATATATTCTTCATTTAAGCATCATATTTATTATAATCTTCTTAAAATTCAGACTTGTATATAGGAATTCTAATGTTTAATTTAATATGATTTAATTTAGTCAATTTAGTAGTTCCCTCAATTTCATTATCTTCATCAAGGACTTATTAAAACAGTTAAATAACATTCTATTTTTATTTTTCTTCCAATTCTCTTTTAAAAACTAAACTTGTAATTTCGTTTATTGATTTATTACTAAATGTTTAATCATGTTATCTTCTAAATGTAAATTTCTTATCTTGAATTCTCTCTCTGCTACCAAAAGAACATAATTTCAAACTTAAAATTTTCATGTCATAAGTAGTAAGAAATTAAGCAAATTCAGTATATGAAATGGCTTTTGGACATAAAGATAGGAAAGGGAGTTTATAATCTCCTAAAATTGAATAAATGAATTCACTAGATGAATCAATTTCCCATTTTGAATTCAAAATAATATATTAAGATCTACTTGATACTGTTCTCAACATACTTAAATACTCAAATCTATTTTATTCTAAATTAAAAATATATTTTAAATATTTTTAGGCTTTAAAACAATGTCCTTTGCTATGTTTAATTAAAATTGATCTTCTTTTAAATAAATTTTCAGATTGACCAGTTTTATAGAATAATTTTAAGAAATCATTATGATTTTCTTTAATAATGTCTGGCATTAAGGTTTCAACCCTAACACCTCTGTATTCATTTTAGTGTCTACCTAAGATTTAGAGTGATGATTAACTAGCTGTAATAATTTCTCCATATTTATCAACACGAAAAAATAAGTTATTAGAAGAAATAATACAATTTGTTTAATAATAAGTTTTTGTTTAAGTTTCATCTTCACTTGAAGATCTTTCATCTATTTTTTCATCTTAAAATATTTATTAGGATTTAAGATTTTAATCAGGTAATTCTTTTAATTCGTGTACTTTTAATTTTTTATGTAGTATATAAAGTTTAAAATATAAATAAAAGAATTTCCATCTAAATCTTATAAACATTTTTTATTCATCAATTGGATTAGTAAAATGAATACTTTTCCAATTTGTTTGACAAACTTAAATTTCTTTAAATATTTATTAACTTATATTAATTTATTCTGAAATGGATATAAATTATTAGAGTTAATTTTTCCAAAAGAAAATCTATAATTCTGTTATTTTTAGAAAAGCTTTAAGAAAATCCTTCATTTATTCTTCACACTTTAACATATTTTCAAAAGGTAATTTAGATCTATAACATAATTAATTATTTTCTTTTAATTTATTGTGAATAGATAACTTTAATTATATGATTCTCATTTATTAATTAAAATTGAAATTAGATTTAATTTTCAATAATTATTTAAATGATTCATTAATCAAATTAAATTTATAGAATAAGATTTCTGAATATAATAATCTTAATTCAGAAGAATTAGGTTCTTATTTTAATTAAGTTTCTAATAAACATTTAATAAAGAATTTTAAAAATAATCCTTTGTATTTTTCAATATTGTGTTTCTTAGTAGTTATATAAGTGTACTTGGCAAATTTCTTACCACTATAATATATAGCCTTATGTCTTAAGAAGCATTTTTTATTATTTGGATGATTATAATGTTTAGTTATAATTCCCATATAATATACATTTGAGCATTCTAATTCTCTAAACCAACTTAAAAGTAATACTCTAATTTTTATATCTTTTGAATTAGTAAATTAATGTTCAAAATACCATTTTCTGAAACTTTTATGAATAACAACAAGATTAATTATAATCAAAATTGTTATTAATGTATAAGGATCTTCTATATTTATGAAATATTGAATCAATAATCCTAAACTTTATCCAAAATACACTAAATTAACAAAATGAAATATGTAATCTATATCATATTTTCCAAAAATTACCATATAATATTATAATTAAATGTAATTTAGAATTGATAATGTAAAACTAACAAGTAAATAAATCATCTATAATTATTATTTATTATATTTACATGAGAATTTTGGTTTTTATAATAATAACTTGAAAATCCACATTAAACTAATTTAATCCAACTATTCAAAATATAAGGTCTAGATTAAGCTATGTTTAAAAAGTCTTATTTATTAAAATTATCATTTAATAATACAAAGTCATGAAAAAAAGTAAAGAATATAACAAATATTAAAACGAACATAGATAAAAATTAACTAAAGTCATATGCTATCATGACATTATAAGTTGATACCAAAAATAATGGATAACATAGAATCCAGTACAATATTCTAATGGATCTTATAAAAATCTATATAATTTAGATGAATACATTTCCAAGACTGCTAAACTATATTTATTCAGCTTTATTGTTATTTCTTTTGAAAAGTAATATAATTATAAGAATTGTGATAAATAATGATAAAGCAAATTCAGTTATTGATATGATGGAAGTAAGTTCTTTGTATTAAAAAATGATATTGCTGACATCTAATTAATTGAATAATGATGATAAATTAGAGTTGTTAGAACCTCTTGTTTATGCTATAATCATATAACTAAGTAATTAAAATTATTTCTTTACTTACTTATGATAATGATTGATTAGTATAATAAAATAATGGATTATTATATAAGCAATGCTATTTACATATTTAGAAACTATCTCTTATCTGATTTCAAAAGTAAATAGAAAAAAGGGGTTCATGAATTTTAATATTCTCAAATTGTTATAATATTAAATTAATTTCAATATATAACAACCCAATTCTAAGGTGTTATTACATTTTCCATTTTTTCTTAAAAAAGTTAGAATAAAAATTCAAATTTATGTAATTTAAATTTGAGAATTTCTTACTGATGAAGAGATAATTGATGAATTAAAAATTAAAATAACATAAATTAATCATAAATTAAAAAGTCAAGATGATTGTAGTCAAATAAATTAATATTTATATTCAAATATCTTATTAGATTTAATAATCTTTTTTATTTAATCATTTAGATGAGAAAATTATAAAAATAAATATTAGTAATGACTAGACTTAATTTATTCACTTAAATTATAATTAATTTATATATATAATATATATTGTAAATATTTTTATAAATAATGTTAAATGAGGCACTTTTAGATATTTTATTCGCTTAATTTGAAGATGTCAATGAAATGAATTAAAGAGATAAGAGTAGTTTAGATATAAATTTTGCAATGCGATATTTTAAAGACATTTTAGACTGTGATGCATTAATTGCAGGATTTAGACCTTAAGGATAATTTGAGGAAACAAGTGATGATGAAGAAGAAGAAGAAGAAGCAAGTGAAGTAGAGTAAAAGAGAATTGGATAAAGGTAGAATCTTAAAATCAATGAACCTAATTTATAGAATATTACATTGCCTCCTGATATGGATTAAAATTAATATTTGAGAAGCAATTCTTAATTAAGAACATTTTTACGTCAAATTGATTTAAGAAATAGTTTATCATCAGGATAAACTAATAATACTCGTTAATCATAAAATGTTAAGTATCCTGTATATGCATTTTCTGATTTTTATTATGCTGCAAGTGAAGATGTTAAAATGATATATGATAAAGTAATAAATGACATTCTTTACAAATATAAGAAAAGTAAATGCTTTGATAGTGATTATTATGACTCTTTGATGTAGAATTTTTCAGTTTTGACTGATTAATAAATAAGAGAACATTTATAATTAAATAAGGATTCAGAGATTATCTTAGATTCTTTTAAAAAATAGAAATGTTTAAAGAGTTTAGAGAAAAGATTATCTCTCTATACTAAATTATAAAATGAGAGTAAAGATAATTATACAATCTTATGTTAAGAGGAAATAGTTGATAATCCTTATGGAATGATTTAAAGTTTTTAGAATCCTCTTTTAACAGCTAAATATTTTTAGGAATTAAATGAATTAATCAATAAAAAACATAAGAAAATAAAATTAGAGGAAGGTATAAATTATAAAAGAGAAATTTAAGAGAGAATGAAAAATTATGTTTAAAATAATAATACTAATGATAATAATGTATATCCTGTAGAAGAGAATGGAGAATTTTAACAATAAATCTAAATAGATTAAGATCCAAAAAAAAATTAAATGGAATTAGAAATTTTAATTAGACAAAAAGATAGTGAAAATTTGAAGAGATTCTTTACAAATAAATTCAAATTATTTGAGAATGAATAATAAGAACTTTTTAATACAGAAATTTAAAATTAAAAATAACAAAGGATATTAAATAAAGAATCTTTTTTGTATTAATGTCCATAATAAGATATTAATGCATTAAAATGTTAAGCATAGACTGATGAACCAGGAATGGGATTAATGCAAAGAATTTAATAATAATTAGAAGATGAAAAGAAATTGAATGAATAATAAAATTAATAAAATTAATAACCTGATGAAAGTTATAAATAAGTAGAAATTGATAAAAAAGAATAAGAATTTTAAAAGGCTTTAGATAATTATTCATTTTATAATAAAGAGATTGTTGAATTTTGCATGGGTCATAAGGATAATTTCTTATCTAAATCATTTTAAGCTTATAATAGAGTAGAAATTGATTTATAAAATCGATAATTTTTTAGTGAGAAATTGGAAGTTTTATTGCATTAAAAGAAGTTTCCTGACAAAATAGGGACATAATAATAATTAGCTAATAGATTGGCTGCTCCATCTATAGTTTCAAGATAAAAAGATAATAGAAGTGCTGTATCTCATGTTAATTTATTGAGTGTTGAAGATTAATAAGAGTCTTATGATTTATCATAATTTGAAGATGGAATTCAATAATAATAAGATTTTAATTAATAATTTGGTAATGAAGATGGAGGTAATAAAGAATTATTAAATTTGATTGAATCTAAAATGAAAGCATTTTAAACAACACCATACTATAATCATTCTTAAGTAGCAGAATCATTTCTTTTAAATGATTTTTCTTAAGTTTTAACAAAACATGCTAGATATCATAGAAATAATATTGTTGATAATTTATATGAAGAGAAAAGAGAATTTCTAGGATTAGAAAGAGAATAAGTCAAATATTTTGATCCATGGACTACAGAATTGGTTCCTTTAGTAAATATAAAGGAATAAAAGAAAGATAATAGAGAGATATTACTTGAAGAATCTACTGAGAAATAGAATAGTCATGAATATTATAAATAAGTAGAAAACTTATCATTATCAAAAGGTAATTTTATATTGATGGAATATATTGAATAAAGACCATTATTATTAAATAATACTGGAATGTGTTCTAAAGTAACTAGGTATGTTTATCCTAGTAGAGCATTATTACAATTTAATTAAAAAAGAATTAAAGATGAAGGTGACAACTATAATAACTTTTAAGAAAATAGTCTTTAAGGAACATATAAAAGTACTTATGGTTAAATGGGATAGATTTCAAATGAGGAAATGACTCTTTGGGAATTCAAAAATATGTTAGTTGAACAATTAGGTAATATTGGTTAAATTCGTTTTCTTGATAAGAATGGAACTATTCCACTTTAAGGATAACTTACAGATGAACGATTTATAGGTATAGCTGTTATTGAAAATGAACTTTATAGAGCACCTATTTTTAAATAGAAATTACCTGTTACTGATTTCTTATTAGTTAGAACTAGAGTTGATAATTGTCATTATAAATATACACTTAGACCTATAGATTGTATATACTTAGTTGGTTAAATTGAACCAAAAGTAGAAATATTCACTCCTCATTCAAGACCTTTAGGTACATTTTTAAAGAATTGTTTAAAAACTTATATTAAGAAACAATTTAAGATGGATTAGGAAGTCAAATAAGATGAATTAGAATAAATATTCTAAAAATAAAGTCATACTAATATTAGATCTGCTTTGAAAGAATGTAAAGGTATATAGGATTCATCAAATCAAAAAACTTGGAGATATCAAAAAGGTAGTAATGATGATGTCTAAGTTCTTAAATATGATATAACTGCAAATTAAGTATGTTTATATGAATCTATGTTACATTCTTCTTATTTATTATAAGAATTTGGTTTGAGAGAACTTAAGAATAGTGATAAGATGAAGAAAACTCTTTAAGAATATTTATCAAGAAATCCTTAAGATTTTAATAGTTGGGTTATTGCTAGAAGGATTGAAGATGAATTAAATATGACTGCATGGTCTTTATCTTAATCATTTTTACATTCAGCTAATTAAACAGGAAGAATGTTATTATATGGAATAGGAGATCCTACATCTGGACATGGAGGTTTGAATTATATTAAGAAACCACTTAAAGCTAGAGGTGAGAAAGGTTAGAATGCTATATAAGAGAAGAAACCTTAAGTAATGGGTACTGAAAATGATTTACGTAAATTACATGTAGAAGACATTTAAAATATATCTCGAAAATTAGGATTAACGGTAAATATTAATTTATCATTATTAAGACTGAACCAAATTTAAAGAGATGGAGAATGATTAATAAGTTAACAGCATTTCTATAATAATCATAGAATCCAGATGATAAGGAAAGTAGAGATGCTGTAATGTTTAGAAAGAATTTAGAATTATTAGATGAAAAATAGAAAAAGTAATTGAATGTCATTGAAAAGTATGCTAAAAATTAGAGATAGACAACTAAAAAATAAAAAGAATAGTATTAGAAAGAATTAGATAAATAATTAGCAAAATTGATTTAGAATCTTACTATCAAAGTATAGGGAAAATATTTTGAAGATTTTGAAGAAGTAAAGAAGAAAAGAACAAAAAGAGATTTAGATAAGGATGATAAGAATAAGGATTTAGAATATAATGATGAAGATATTAAGCCATTTTTAATTGTAGATTAAGAGAATTATAAATTAAGAATAGAGGCTTTTTAAAAGAAAGAGAAGAAGATATGGTTAGAGAAAAAGAAGAAGAAGGGATTATAATGAAGTTTATTCTATACATTTCATTGAAAATGCTTTATTTATTTAAATATTATTAATAAATTATGTAAATTGACGAAGTTGTATGGTAGGTAATAAATCGAGGACATTGTTCATTTAAGATTAAGTAAGAAATAAAAAATTAAGAATAGAACAATCTCATAAAATTTCTGTAGAAATGAATATAATGTAACAGGTTTATGTTCTAAATAATCTTGTCCATTAGCAAATTCATAATATGCCACAATTAAAGAGGAAAAGGGTTTGTGTTATCTTTATGTAAAAACAGCAGAAAGAGCATAAAAACCAAAAGAATTATGGGAGAAGATACTATTATCAAAGAATTATGAATAAGTAAACATAGAAAAATATAAATTATAGGCATTAGCTTAAATAGATGAATAGTTAAAATATTGGAGTAATTTCATGATACATAAAAATAAACAAAGATTAACTAAGCTAAGATAGATGTTGATAAGAATAAGGAAGATGAGATTAAAAGGATTGTAAGAAACAATTATTTATAATAGTAAGGAATTGATTCCAATTAAAAAGAAGGCAGAAAGAAGAGATAAGATAAGAGAATAAAAAGCATTAGTAGCTGCTAATTTAGAGAATGCCATAGAATAAGAATTGATAGATAGATTAAAAAATGGAGTATATAATGAGATTATGAATTACAATACTAAAGCTTTTGAGAAAGTTGTTGGTTAAAATTAAATGGAAGATGAAGAAGAGGTATATTATAATAAATAAACATTT